TCCCGCCGCCGCACCTTGGGCGCCCGAGTCCTCTCGGCCTCCTGCCTGGCCGCGACCAGAGCGAGTCCGGGCCCGACCGGGGAGAGGAGCCGCGGTGCGGGGACAGGCCCGGCCAGTCGGATCCCCCCTGCTGCAGTGGGAGCCTGGGGGTTCGGGGCCCCCCAAGAGCTGACAAAGGGACAAAGAAAATGTCTCTCTCCAGGCGCGCCGAACTGGGTGGGGGGCGCAGAGTGTGGCCCCCCGCCCGCAGGCGCTGATTGGTCCCTGGGGCGGGGGTCACGTGCCCCCCAATCCTGCTCTCCGCCTGCGGGAGTTTGGGGCACCTCCCAGAGGGGGCGCTGCTGTGGTGAACCCCCACCCTTGCCCCGACCTGCCAACACCGCGGCTGGGAGTGTTTGCAAGAGTCCTGGGGTTGAGGGACGGGTTTGCAGACCCTCACCGCGAACCGGGCCCTCTCTGGCTAAGGTCTTTGACACCCTCCACCCAGGTGGTCGTCATTGACCCCCAGACTGGAAAGGAACTGGAGTTGGGGACTACAGGAGGCTGTGCTCCAGCTCTGAGGGGGCTGGGGTCAAGTTCAAGAGGGAAGGAGTTGGGGGCTGACTAATGACGGGGTAACTGAAGGACCCCAGCCCCATTTGCAAAAGTCGACTCCTTCATATTGTTCTGGGCTCCCTCAGCTCCTCAAGGCCTCCAGACCCCTCCGCAAAAATACTCAGTGCTCCCGGGCAGCCCCCCGGCCAGCCCCCTGCTCCCTGTGAGGCCCGGGCTCCAGGGGGGACTCCGGGTGTGAGGCAATGGCCAGGGGTCCTGGGGGCAGCCCCATCTGGGAACGGTCCTCAGAGCTCCAGGAAGTGGCAGGGGCCACGGCCACCCACTCGCGGTGCCCTGGATGCTGAGTGGGTGGCTGTCTGGAGAAAGCCTCCGCAGCTGCCCACGTCCACCTGAACCTGCTGCTCCCCCAAGCACCTGGGACAGTGAGGCCCAGGGCGCCCGCGGTGAGCAGGGAAGGAGCCCGGGCTCCTTCACCTGAGCAGCTGGACAGGGCTGGGGGAGACCCCCTCTGTCAGCCCGGAGCCAGAGTCACCCCCTTGCATTCCCTTCCCAGCCCGGGGTCGCCGGGACCCCCCCCACTGGCAGGAATTAGGGCTGGGCCTTTGAGAGAAAGAGCCTGCTCTGTGTCCTCAGCAGCTCACCCGCCCTCTCTGGGCGGCCTCCCTGGAAGATGCTCTTTGGGTTTAGGCCTGGATGGGCTCTGCCCCCACCTGCTGGGCGGGGGCTCAGCACCCACGGGCCTGGGGTCCTCGTCACCCCTTCTGCTTGGAGGTGAGAAAGGTCCGGTCTCTGGGAGTCAGTGCTGGGCTGGGGGCTGGGGCTGGGGGAAGGGGCGGGTCTTCAGCGGCCCCCCCCCCTCGCTGCAGGCACATCTGCTGGGGTCACCTGGGGCAGCACCTAGAGGGTGAGAACCCCACTGCCCTTGGTAGGTGACCATGACGTCAGCGGGCAGTGCAGGTGAGCTGGGTCCCTGGGGGTGCAGGGTGTGCCGGTCACTGCCCATGTCCAGGGAAGGTGTCCTGAGCTGGCCTGGGGTGTGGCCTGGGCCGTGGTGCTGGGGGGACGGGGGACGGGGACAGGCTGGGCTGGCTGGAGGGGCGCGGGCCCTGGGCTGGTGGAAGATGAGCCAGGGGACAGGGACGGCGGACGTCGAGGGGGAGACTGTGAAGAGGGGAGACGTGAGAAATGCGCCCCGAGGGGTGACAGTGGCCCCCAGAGCACCCAGCTTCCTGCCTGGGGTCCTGGAGAGGGGACCTGGCAGCTCTCAGCCCGCCGCGGTCCTGAGGGGGGCTGCCCGGAGCCGGTGAGCAGAGGTCGGCCACTGCGGGGACAGGAAGGGACGGTGGCAGTCCTGGGGAGGGCCCCGGAGCCCTGTCCTCGCTGTGACTCTCGCAGCCGCGATGGACGGCTCCCCCTCCCTGTCGCGCCAACGGGAAGACTGAGGCTGATGGCAGCTGAGGACACGGGTGGCCAGGCACCTGCCCCACGTCCAGGAGGAGGGTCGTGGGAACGGCCCGGGGCCCTTCAACACTGAGAAGGGCCACTCGGCATTAGTGCCCGTCACCTCCCCTCCTGGGGCCCAGGTAGGGTGTGGACATTAGCACGAGGTGGCTGTGCAGGCTGAGGACCCGCCTGTAGTCCTTTGGGTGGACATGTGTCCCCTGGCCACTGGCCCCGGGGCTGCTGGGAGCTGGGCCCAGCCACAGAGGACTACGTGTCCCAGGATGCACCTCCGCCCTGCCCAGCTGGGCCTCCAGGGGCCAACTTGGGAGGGAACCTGGCAGAACTGGAGCCCGGAGGATCATGGGTCCTCGTGGGCCTGGGTCCAGGGCAGCCGCAGGGAGGACAGTCGCCAGCGCTCCCAGGCCCCACGCGCAGTGGCCCATGTCGGTGTGACCTGGTCCCAGACAAGGAGTCGGAGCTCTGGGGTCTGGCCGGCCTTCAAGAGGCCCCCTCTGCCGTGGGGGGTCAGGGCTGGGGAGAGTTGGGTAGAGGAGTGCGTGAGAAGGGCCTCGCAGCTGGGGCCTCGGTGGATGTGTAGGAGTTCGCAGGGAGGAGGCCGGTCCTCTGACACCCACAGGACTCCTTCCTGCTGGGGACTGGCCGGCCTTCCCTGTAGGCCAACGGGTCAGAGCCCCGGGGCAGCAGAGGGAGCCAGCTGCCCTGAGCTTGAACCCCCGTCTTCCCTCGCTGGCGCCCCATCTGTCAACAGAGGCCACCACCAAGGCAGACTGGGCCTGTCCCTGTGGAATCGGCAGCAGGCGGGGCCGTGGGCATAGACATAAACAGGGCCGGTCTCCGCCGTGAGCTCCCGCAGACGCAGGACCAGGCTGAGGGGGCGGCTGTTCAGCCCAGGGTGTCATGGTGGCTGTCTCTGAGGAGGTGACATTTGAGCTGAGACCAGGAAGATGAGATGGAGAAGGTCCAGCCAAGATCTGGAGGAAGAGCACTCCAGGCAGAGGATGCAGCTGTGCAAAGGCCCTGGGGCAGGAGCAGCCTGGCATCTTGGAGGCAGAGGGGGGAGCACGTGTGGCTGGAGCAGGGGGAAGGGGGCAGGAGGGAGGCAGGGAAAGGAAGGGTGGCCAGGACCTGCAGGGTCCTGTGGGCTACGGGGAGGACTTGGCTTTGACACTGAAGGAGGTGGGAGCCTTGGAGGGCTGTGTGCAGAGGAGGGAGGGGCCTGACTCGGTGCTCACGGGCGCCCTCTGGCGGCGGCTGCAGGACCACAGGCCGTGGGGTGCAGGTGGAGGGACCAGTGAGTGGGGAGGTGACAGCTGGGGAGGCTGGGGACTGGCCGGGCAGGGGCTGTGGGGAGGAGGGTGGCCCCAGGGCAGCTCTGTGGGGTCTGAGCCCTGGGTCTGGTGGAGGAGCCAGGTGGGTTCCGCTGTGGTCGGAGTCTGTCCTGGACCACATAGGCCAGGTTCAAGTCCCCGACGGGCCCCTTCCTGGCTGGGCAACTTGGGCCTCACCTGGTGCCCACTCTGGGCCTCGGTTTCTTCTCCCATTAAATAGCAGAGCAGTGCCCTGGCTCCCCTGCTCAAGGAGGCACCTCTCAAGGCCCAGCCCAGGGCTGGGAGGCGGTCAGGGCCCCCTGTAGTGTCCGCAGTGGCTGCCCTGTGAGGCCTGAGCCAGGCGGCTGCACAGATAGGGCAGCATTCGGGGTGCCAGTCCCCGAGGTCACCCAACCCCCAGGGGCCCCTGTTCCTGGCCGTTTCCCTCCACTGTGGGACAGTTCTCACGCCCCATCCTACAGCAACATCCTCACCCTGCCAGCTTCGCCATTCCTGAGCCCTGACTCACCAGGACTTGTGGTCCACTCTGACCCCAGGGTCTTCCCTGGGGACCTGTTTCCTGCCTTTGTCTTCCCTGAGTTCATTGGCCAGTCTTCCACTCCCAGCGGCTCTGCCAGGGCCCCTCCTGTCCCCGCCCGGGTCTCTCAGAGGTGTCCCCCTGCAGGACTCTGTTTGGGTACTGCCCACTCAGGGCCCTGTGTCCTTCCAAACAAGGCCCCTGCAAGGGCGCGTGGCTGGGCGAACTCTGAGGGGCCCCCAGGCCCAGGCGCTGGGTGTCGGGTCCCTGTGTTCTGCTCCTAGATCAAGGACTCTGAGGACAGGGACCCACACCCAGGCCTGAGCCCAGCGGCTCCCGGGCCCCTCCGGGGGTCTGCGGCCGCGCCTGCCTGGCCCGGGCTGCAGGGTTGGATCTGGCCATCCCGGTTCCCCGGGTCTCCTGCCCCCCAGCTCCCTGCTGGGTGTAAATGACACTTTAATTTCGCTGAACGGCCACGGCCCCCCCACTCCTAATTAGGAGCTGCTGCTGCGGCTCTGCCTCCTGGAGGCCCGACTTCCAAACAGTGATTAAAATCAATTACCGGAGCCCCCCCTGCTGCCTGGGGACCTGTCGGTGTCCCACGTGAGGTCCTGCCTCTGCCACCTCCTCTCCCTTCTCCCCGAGTGGCCCAGGGACAGGGACAGCCTCCCGGTCGGTCTCCATGTTTTATCTGTAAAGTGCTTCCCGAGGCCGTGCCACCACAGAGGACAGATGGCACCCGCCAGCACTCGGCAAAACGGGAGGCAGGACAGCTCAGGGTCTCAGCTCCCCGCATGCTGTGTGACCTCAGCCCAGCGGCCTCACCTCTCTGGGCTCCAGGTTTTCCATTGGCACAATGAGGCTGACGTGCTATCTCTGAGGCCTGGGGTGGCAATGACGCCAGCTCCTACGCGCCAAGGGACTCCGGGCCCAGCCCTCGACACGCATGTCCCCGTCACAGCTGAAGCCCTGCCATACTGGCACACAGTGGGTCCTGGCACACAGTGGGTCCTGGCACACAGTGGGTCCTGGCACACAGTGGGTCCTGGCACACAGTGGGTGTGCAGGAAGCCTGCAGTGGACAGGCCCTGGCCCCGTGGGATGAGCAGGGCCCTTCCTGGGGCGCACACCCTGCGGGCATGTGTCAGCCCCTCGTGCGGGCACCCGGGGGGCACAGTGGGGACCAGCTGGAGGCCCCTGCCCTCGGGAGCCCGAGTTCTCTCCCCAGTTTGCGGAGGAACAAGCCCAGAGAGGGCGAGGGCCTGGCCGGGGCTGCGGAGCGCCGTGCGGTTGGCCGGGTGGTCATCGCGGGGCTCACGGCCCTGGAGACATCCCCTGGACCCTCACTGTGGACGCCACTGGCTGGACGGCTGAGGGCAGCAGGGCCCGGGCCTGTGGCCTTTGTGCCAAGTCCCTGGACGGCCCCGGAGCCCGGCCGGGCGGCCACGGGGGCCACGGAGGCAGCTGGGGAGGCAGCTGTAAGCAGAGCCGGTAACCAGACCTGCGTGGCGCAGGGGCCCGCTGCCGGGCCGGTCACTTGATCCCCCGAGGGACGCCTGGCCCTGAGCCGGATGCTGGGAGGGCCAGGCCGGCAGGAGCCCCCCGCCGCCCGGAGTCAGGCGCCCACCCTTGCTGGGCCCGTGGAGCAAGCGCCTGGTCAGGGGCCCCGAGTCTCTCACCATCCTGTGCAGAGGCCCAGAGAGGGCGGGCTGTTGGCTGAGGTAACACAGCAAGGTCACTGGACATAACGTGAGTCCGTGGCCAGCCAAGCTGGGGCCTGGGGACGAGGGAGAAGCGGGAGAAGCCGGGCCTCGTGGCCAGGCACCTCCTGACCCTCCTGCTGCTGCTCTAAGGCTCCCGGCCCACGGGCTTGGCCCTTGCCACTCCCTCGCCCCGCCCACCTGTGCCCTCCCGTCCACACCACCTGCCCCCGTCCACACCACCTGCCCCTGTCCACACCACAGTCCCTGTCCACATGGCTGCTTCCCTCTTGCCCCAGGCCGCAGCCCCCCATGTGCCCCCCTCGGCCCTGGGCCCTCTGCGCTGGCCCTGTGTGCAGGGCGGGCCTGGGTCCTCGCAGCCTGGGGGTGGACGGGGATGGCTCTGCCACCGGGCCACCCCCAGCCCTTTTGGTTCTTTATTTTGAGACAGGGTCTCACGGAGTTGCTCAGGGTCTTGCTAAGTTGTTGAGGCTGGCCTGGAACCTGGGATCCTCCTGCCTCAGCCTCCTGAGCCGCTGGGGCCACAAGGGTGGCTACAGCACCCAGGAGCTGGGCCTTGGGGAGGCCAGACAGGTCCCCTGGCAGAGGGCCAGGCTGAGCAGAGGAGGAAGGTGGGGGGTTGGGTTCTTTCCCCTGAGGGGCACTAGGGAGCCATGGCAGGGCTGTGAGCAGGGCAGGACTCGGCCTGGCACCAGGGAGGCGCAGCCCGGGGCCGAGGCTGGAGCAGAGGGAGTGAGGGGAGAAGGAGGAAGGGGCCAGGGAGGGACGGGCAGGTCGCGGGGCCTGAGGCCTGCGGGAGGCTGGGAGCCCTGGAGGCCGAGGGCCAGGCTTCAGCGCCCTCTGGTGTCCAGGACGGGGGTCTGGGGTGTGGGCGGCCAGGGCTGAGCCAGATGCTGACGGGGCGTGGCGGGGGGCGGGATTCTGGATGCGTTTGGACGGCAGGGAGAGCGCCCAGGAGCGCGGGCGTTGGGTGTGCGGGGCAGGAGTGGACGGGGAGGAGAGTGGGCGCCCTGGGCGTGGGTGGCCCGGGCAGGCTGTGGACGCGACCGTGGAAACCCACAGGCGTCTGCCTCGGTGTCTGGAACTTAGAGGAGGGTCCCCGAGGTGGAGGGGCACCAAGGACGGCCAGCCCGGGGCGTGGGGGGCACAGCCCCGGCGCAGCTCGGAGCAGAGACATCAGGGCCACTCGGAGCGCCAGGCGGGGGCAGCAGCTGGTGTCCGGTGCGCGAGGTGGAGAGGCTCAGAGCCCCAGGGGCCTGGGGAGAGGGGACGCCCAGGAGCCCCAGCAGGGACCAGGAGGGACGGAGCTGGAGGGGTGAGGGCTGTGGCCTTAGGGAAGGCCACCACCAGGCGGCTGTCCCCTCTGTGCCGTGGCCGGTGCCAGAGCTGGAGTGACCGTGGGCCTCGGGCGGGGGACGAGGTGGCCTCCTGGACGGGCTCTTGCTTCCTGGTGCCTCCCGTGGGCCGGGGGACAGGGCTGCCGGCAGGGCCCAGCACACACACTGGACGCCCTGGGCCCTCGTGGCTCTGCGGCCTGGCCCCGTGGCGGCTCCGTGGCCAGTGGGTGGGCACCGGCGGCTGCTGGCAGAGGCCCCTCAAGTTCATGGCGGGAAGCAGATGGCCCTGGGGGGGAGTGCCCCGGGGCGCCCTGGGCAGCGGGTGAGGTGGCCCCAGGTGGTCAGACGCCCCCCGGCTCCCGGGTCCAGTGCTGCGTCGTGAAGTGTCCCAGGGCTCTGGCCCGACGCCAGGCTCCCGGCCTGGGCAGTGTCCGCCCTGCCCGGGGCCTCGGTCCCTTGTCTGTAGAGGGACCTGGGAGCTGTCCCCGTGTCTGAGGGCGTCAACAGTGGACTGAAGGCTTCAGCAGTTCCCCACACGTAGCAAGTGTTTGCTGTTTTTCTCACTTATTGAGCTCCTACTGTATGCTGGCCCTCTTCTGAGTGCTGGGGACAAGTGGCCAGTGCAGACCAGCCCTGCCCGGCCAGGCTCACCGTCCCACAGAGGAGACAGGAGGCTGACGGGGACGCTGCCGCTGGGCTAGGGGCCACTCTGGGAAGGGGCGACACTCAAGATCCCCAGACGCCGTCCCAGGGCCGGGGCCAGGCAGGGCAGTGGCCTTCGGTGAAGATGCCCTGGGGGGAGCTCAGGGGACCTGGGACCGCCTCAGGGCACTGGGCAGCCGCTGCGGAGGGGCACAGAGGGGCACAGAGCAGTGGTTCCGCTGCAGGGGACTCGGCCTGGCCTGGGGACATTTGTGGCTGTCAGGACGGGGGGCTGGAGAGGTGGGGGCCAGGGACACCCCTCAGCACCCTGCTGGGACCCACCAGAGAGCACCCAGCTGTGGACAGCGGTCCTCTGGCGCAGAGGGGACCGGGCTGGTGCAGGGAGGGATGGGGAGGCCTGAGCCGTGCAGAGGGAGCCGGTGCCCAGAGGGTCAGGGGCCCGGGCCAGGCCAGCACGGCGCGGGGCTCAGGAAGGAAGGGTCAGGTCAAGTCACAGGCCTGGGGGGTGCGGGTCCAGGCCACACGGGCAGGCCTCGGGGCCCTGGGGACACTCACGTCCCGGGCTGGGCTGGGCATAGCCAAGGCCCAGAGAGGACATCCCTCTTGAGGTGCCCGGCCTGGGACCTCAGCTGCCCATCTGTTAACAGGGCACAGGGTCACCGCGGGCCCCTGGGGGGTGTTGAGCGACTGGGCTGGCTTGTCCCTCCTGTTCTTGTGACCGCACAGCTCCCGAGGCAGAAACTGGGCCCCACTGCTGTGCTGTCCCGGGTCAGGCACAGCCCCCTCGTCCAGCCGCCTGCAGATGAGCTCTGCCACGCCCGCCCGGCTGGGGCGCTCGGTGCGTGAGAGCGTTCACCTCCAAAAACAGTGAGCACTTACTGAGCACCCACTGCATGCCAGGCGCCAGGCCTCCCAGGCCAATACCGTTGGAACGTCACTAAGGTGAGGCGGGGGCGAGTGACCTGCTCCAGGAAGAGAGGGAGCAGCTCTGGAGCCCAGTCCCACACCCGGGGGCTGCACAGCGTCAGGGGGGGGGAGTGTTCCACCTCCAGGCCTGGCCCTGCGGCCACGAGGAGGCTGAGGCAGGAGTATTGCAAGATGAAGGCCAGCCTCTGCCACTTAGCAGCACCCTGTCTCAAATAAAAAATAAGACGGGCTGGGGCGCAGCTCCGCGGTGGGGCGCCCGGCTCCATCCCGGCAACTCTCAGCAGAAAATGCCAAGTCGGTCAGTTTAGTGTCACCTGTGTTTTATGACGGTCAAGGAAGGCCCCTGTGAACAGCACTGGGCGGGGTTCTGGGGACGCGGGGGGCCTAGACTCATCCCCGGGAGGCACTGGAGGCTGGGAGCTGGGCAGGGGCCAGGGAAGGAAGCGCTTGAGGACAAAGGGCCGAGCCCCAAGCACGCGTGGCCGCGGCGTCCTCTGAGTCACAAATCCTGGAAGCCCAGGGTCAGGGGAGGAAGCCAGCTGGTCCCCGGGCCTTCCTGTTTCGGGTCTGACTGCAGCGCTGAGGCCACCCGCCCGCCACCTTCTCTGCAGGGTCTCCAAGCCACGGGGCCAGGGCAGGGCTGGGACACGCTGCTCAGATGGGGAGACTGAGGCCGGGGCTTAGCAGAGACGCCCCAGGAGTGGCCAGGACTCTCGCTGGGGCCTCTGCGACCAGAATGGCCGCCCTTTCTGGTAGGGACGTGGCCCGGGCGGGAGGTGCTGGCTTCAGAGCGTGAGTCCCCCCCACGGTGACCTGGGAGGGGCCTCCAGCCCCACACCCAGAAGGCCCGGCGGAGCCACCCTGCGCGGGAGCAGAAGGAGCAGCCTCCGCAGGTACCTGCCTGCCGCAGGGTGGGCGCGCAGAGGGCGAAGGCGGGAAGGGGGACCCGGCACTCCTGCCCTGGCCAGGTGGCGGTTTATGAAGCACTAGGAAACTCTGACTTTCTTTTTTTGCATCATTAAGATCTTTGTGTCTTAATTCCAAGAATTTTTAAATTCCCGTTTTGAGACTGAATCTTAAGTACAGAGTTAAGTGTGTCTATTATTGTAATTATTGTGATTGGCTTTTAATTGCCCGGTGCCTTCTCGTTGGAAGTCGTTTCTGCGCTTCACTCCGTGTGGCCGTGAAGCGGGCCTGTCACTCCGGGAAGTGCCCCACGTGGCTGTCCTCGTTACTATTATTGCCGTCGTGGTTATTTATTGATTCCCCTCCCCGCGGGGGTTTCCGGGCCTGGAGCGGGGTGGAGGCTCGCGCGCCCTCTGCCGGCCACGGGCGGGACTGCAGGCCGCGCCGCTCACCGCCGGGTCCTCGCCCGCAGGTGTCACCTCCCGCCACCTGGCACTCGCCATGCGGACCGCGGGGGCGCCTCCTCCCGGCCCGGCCCTGATGCTCTTGCTGCTGCTACTGGGGGACTCCCAGGGCCTCTTCCCCGAGGAACCGCCTCCGCTCAGCGTGGCCCCCAGGGACTGTGAGTGGGAAGGGACCTTGGGGGAGGTCGAGTCCTGACCGAGGCTCTTGCTTCCAAATGGGGTCCCCTGGCCCTCCCAGGAGGGGCGGCCCCCAGTCAGGAGCCAGTCTAGAAGGGGCGTGACCCCGTCCCACCTCTCCCTAGACCTGAGCCACTACCCCGTGTTCGTGGGCGGGGGGCCTGGGCGCGCGAGCCCCGCGGAGGACACCGAAGACCTCAACATCCAGCGCGTGCTGCGGGTCAACAGGACGCTGTTCATCGGCGACAGGTACAGGGCACTTGGGGGCAGCGTGTCCAGGGGTGGCGTTGCCTGACCCGCCTGCTGTTTGGCCAAGTTGTGTGACCTTGGCCTTCGAGTGCTGGGTGGGACTGGCTCGGGTGTGTGAAGCTGGGGACAGTCCCTGGCGGTCCACCATGGTGGTAGAAAGCTGTCCTGGGGTGGGAGGTCCAGTCAGCCAGGAACTGACCACACAGATGCCATGGGGGATGGTCAGGAGGGCTTCCCCAGGAGGTGACATTGGGTGGGACCTAAGTGAATCTTCAGCCAGGTGCACCTGGGGGGGAAGGGTCTTCCCGGTGAAGGGCAGAGGCTGTGCAAAGGCCCTGGGACAGGGTGGAGCCCAGTCTGCTGGAGGAACAGCACGGCCCTGGTGGCTGAAGCAGAGGGAGTGGGGAGGACAGGGCGGTCAGCTGGCAGAGGACCCTGTGAGCAGTGGCAGGACTTGGGAAGTCATGGAGGGAAAAGAGAGGGGTCCTGGTTCAGGTGGTCACATGTACCCTCTGGTGCCTGCTGTAGGGAGGACAGACTGGGACCAGGGCAGAAGCAGGGAGCCCAAAGTGTACTGGTCCAAGCTGGCAGCACTCGGGGCTGGACAGGGAGATGCCCTGGAGGGCGCACGGCCTGGGGTCAGCAGGGAGTCTCGGCACAGCCTGCAGGCACGGCGGCCTGAGCTGTGTGGGACCAGGAGGGGAGGGGGCCGGTGTCCAGGGGTTCCTCCCAAAGAGCGGCCTGAGCCCCTAGACAGACTCGGGAGGACAGGGTTGGGGGTCTGTCAGGCATGGCCTGGCCACGTTGCCTATGTGACCCATGACCCCCCCCAGACATCCAGGGGCAGCTGGACCCCGAGGGTGGACCTGGGAAGCGCAGGGCTAGAGAGGTGGGAGCATGGGCATCGGCTGGGCGTCACGGGGTTGTGGACAGGAGGGGTGTCGTGGAGGAGGGAAGAGTCCCCAGTCCTGGGCCCACGGAGGAGAGGGCAGGCAGGGGGCGTCCCAGAGAGTCACAGGCAGCCAGCAGGGCGGGGCACGGGGGCTGCTTAGGAATGGCGTTTGCAGGAAGAGGGTGACCAGCTGGGGCGGAGGCCTTGAAGAGGACGAGGAGGGTGGACAGGTGACCGCTGTAACACTGAGAGGTTAGAAGGACCAAGGGCACGTGCCCGCAGAGAGACAGTCCCTCACCCCCACGCCGGCTCTTGCTCTGACACTGCACACAGGAAGTGAGCCGAGGTGGGCGTGTGGGACAGTCTGTGTGGGGACACGTGACCCTGGTCCGCTGAGGTGGGACATCCAGGCATGAGGTGGCCTGCCCTGTGAGTGGACCCGCTACAGGTCGGGTTGGGCCATTAGAGGGTCCACTCGCTGTTGGACATGCTCGTGCCAGAGGGGCTGGTGTGTGCCTGCATGTCACCTGTTGGACGCCACGTTTGGGGGACAGGGTGGAACGGGGGAGGGATGGCGAGACCTCCAACCTGCCGCCTCTGCCCTCTCGCAGGGACAACCTGTACAGGGTGGAGCTGGAGCCGCCCACGTCCACCGAGCTGCGGTACCAGCGGGTGAGGACGGGGTGCAGGCCCGTGGGCAGGGGGCCGGGACGGGGATTCCCACCAGCATATCTGGGCTGTTGGGGACCCCGCCCCGCTCACCAGCTCTCTGCCCACAGAAGCTGACCTGGCGCTCCAACCCCAGCGACATAGACGTGTGTCGGATGAAGGGCAAGCAGGAGGTGAGCACGTCCCTGGCCACCCCCAGGCTCGGCCCCGCCCAGGGCCTGCTCCTCCTCCATCCCCTGGTAGGACCCTGAGTTTCTGCCCAGGTGGCCACGCTCCCGGCCGCCCTGACCAGTCCACGGTTGTCCAGCACATGGCCACACGCCTATGCCGCCCCGACCCGCCCTGGCCCAGGGTCAGGGCTCCTCCTTCACCAGGGCTCGAACCTGCTGTCTCCATGGTTATGCTCAGAGCCTGAACACGCCCCCAAGAGGGTCTTCCGTGGTGGCCACGTCCACAGCCCTGACCTTGCCTAACTGCTGAAACCAAGTACCTCCTGGTCTTGGCCCTTCCCTGGTCCCCAGCGGCCCTCGGTTCAGCCCCCACCTGGTCCCGCGCCTCCTGGCTCTCCTCCCTCCAGCCCCGGGCTCCTCCCCCCGCCCTAGCCACGCCCACCGCAGTCCTAGCCACGCCCACCGCAGTCCTAGCCACGCCCACACGGGCCTCCGCTCCCCCACTCCAGGGCGAGTGTCGCAACTTCGTAAAGGTGCTGCTGCTCCGCGACGAGTCCACGCTCTTCGTGTGCGGCTCCAACGCCTTCAACCCCGTGTGCGCCAACTACAGTGTGAGTGTCCCTCAGGGCCTCCCACCCCAGGGCGGGCTTCCAGCCCGTCCCATCCGGCCATGACCCCGTGACCCCTACGAGAAGCCCCAGATCTGTCCTCCACCCCGGCTCAAGAAGGGTCAGCGTTTCCAGAGGCGGCCCGGGCAGCCGGTTTCCGTGGGAACTGGGGTGGACGCGGGTGAAGAGTGAGTCGGTGTAGAAGGGGGTGGACTAGTGACCAGGACCACTCTGAGCAGGAAGCTGGGGTTCAGAAAGGCTAAGGGACTGGCCACGGTCGCAGGGTCCAGGGGGAAGCCAGAAACAGGCAGACCTCTGCTCAGGCCCCATGTTCCCCACAGATGGACACGCTGCAGCCTCTTGGGGACAACATCAGTGGCATGGCCCGCTGCCCATATGACCCCAAACATGCCAATGTCGCCCTCTTCTCAGGTGAGTGTCCCGGCCCCTGACCCTGAGATCAGCCCCAGTCTGGCACCTTCCACTCTTGAAGACTCGGTGGCTGAGCAGGCAGCAGGGGACCAAGTGTCTGTAAAAGGGCAGCGTCTCGGCCACTCAGAGGCTCACTGAGGGTTGGACTTGGAGAGGGTCTAAACTCAGCCTGGGGTCAGGGGTTCAACCTGCCACCAGAACCAGCTAGGTCTGGGCTCAGCCCAGGCTCGGGGCCATGGGGTGGGGACTCACCAGGCTTGGGATTGGGATGGTGAGCCCCAGGCTCAGGGCCCCTTCAGTTAAATCTCTCTCAGACCTTCCCGGCCCCCACCCTCCCCGTGTCCAGATGGGATGCTCTTCACAGCCACTGTGACCGACTTCCTAGCCATTGACGCTGTCATCTACCGCAGCCTTGGGGACCGGCCCACCCTGCGCACCGTGAAGCACGACTCCAAGTGGTTCAAAGGTGAGGCTGGGGGCTGCCGTTGTCCAGGCCCCCCAGCATCAGAGGGAAGGAGAGGACTCCGTCCTCGTCTCTGGAAGCGCCCGGGCATTTTGACTTGGTGGTTGATTTGGGGCTTCGAGCTGGGTCCCAGGCCTTGCGCCTGCTCGCCCCACGCTCTGCCCCGAGCCTCCCCTTCTGCTGGCTTTTTTGAGGCTAAAGCTGGAGAAGACTGGGTCTAGAGTAGAGCTGGCGGGAGGTGGGCGGCTCAGGAGCCCAAAATGGAAGGACAGGCTGGGCACCGCCGGCCTCGGCCCCGCACACACGCAGGAGGAAGGGGACAAACAGCAGCACATGTGGCCATCGGGACGGGGCGGACACGGGGTTTTCCGCTTCTGACCTCCTCCCTCCCACGAAACGTTTGAGCCCGGCTCCTTCTGCCTGGTGCCAGGCTCGGTGCCCCTGACCATAAAAGACCTCCCAGACCGTGGGGCCCGCCCCGAGCGCCCCTGGTCCAGTGCTGACTGCCCGCCCCCGCAGAGCCGTACTTCGTGCACGCGGTGGACTGGGGCAGCCACGTCTACTTCTTCTTCCGGGAGATCGCCATGGAGTTTAACTACCTGGAGAAGGTGAGGCCACGTTCCTGGAGGCTGGGCAGGGGGCACAGGCCCAGGGGCTCTGTGGGGGGGTGGCGGGCGGAAGTGGGTCGGCGGGAGACACCATGGGAAGGCCACGTGGATACACTGTGCTGTCGCCGTCCACTCACCCCCATCCACTGTCCACCTCCCTGCCACCCTCCATTCCCCCACCTGCCCTCCAGCCACCCACGGCTCCACTGACCCCTTGGCCCATTCCCCACCTGCCACCCACTGACCCCACCATCCTGCCCCCCCACCCACCTGCTCCTCCCACAGACCTGTTCATCCCTCCACCTTCCTGCCCCTGTGTCCACACGGCCCACCGCCCATCAGTCTGTCCTGATTACCAGCTCGTCCATCCCCCCACCTCTCCTCCGCCTGTGCACCCAGTTACCTAGCCACCCGCTTCTCCCTGGGAACCATCAG